TCATTGAGTAATATATCGTGAATTTCAATTGTACTTGATTTCAATCCGTTGCTTTACCGGTATAGTTCAATACTACAGATATCTCAGTCTTTGAAATGCTAAAATTTCCTGCTTTATACACTTTTATAGTAAAACATTGCCTCAGAAAGTATCATAATTTAATCCTCCCAGAAGAAATCAATTTTGAGCCCCATCTCCACTTTCAAATCAAGACGATTGAACTGAATTGCAACAAGAGGGTCAAGGTTTTTAGCATACATAGTCACAAGCCGCAGTGATGGTCAGAGGCATGGTGATTCAATATGAAAATTGTTTTCTAAACATATCCTATTTTATAAATTTTGTTCAGACTACGTTTCAACTTTCAAAGTTAATTTTCGACCTAGGATTCTTGCGTTTTGTTTTCTTAATTCCCCAATCTTTAAGGCATTTATCTATTCTAATCCTCAATTACACAATCTTTTTTTACGTCTTACTCACTAATTTTATTTTTAACTAGTCTTCGCTTGCAGTAATTCTTCAAACTAATCCTAATATTTCCAGACAAACCTTCAATCTACTCTTTCTTGTAATATATTTCTGCTCTTCTACTTTCAAGGAATATATTAACACCAGTCTAAATACAAATAGCTCAAAACTATCTGTGTTATCAAAATATTACGGCCCAAGGTTCGAGCCGTGATATATACCACTGACCACTATTTACACTTTCAGCTGTAAGGGCGTTGTAAGTGTGCCAGTCAATCCCGCTATTCAATTAATAGTATCAATGTAGGAGTCACGCGCTGCTGAATGATTTTATTTCTGGTTATCAGTTTTATGTTAAGGAAGGATATGCCTGAACTTCAAGGTCTCTGACCTGATCATTTAGCACGTGTACCTCATAAGGTGCAGTTCAGTTTGGAAATTCTGAATATTTTCGCAAAACTATACAATAGGCTAGCTGCGATGAGCCCGCGCACGGTTCAAACCCAGAATTTTAGCGTTATAAACCCTCAAGCTTACCATTGAGCCACCAGGGGTCGACCAACTAGTTTACTATTATATCTTACTTTATTTATGTGTAACAATGTTGTGTACATAAACGTAAATCAAAATTAAAGTTTCATTAATATATACATTTTCATTAATACGGTTAAATTACGATCTTAACGAAGAGAGAAACTCAGCGTAGGACTGAAAATTTTAGACTATTATTCGTAGCAAAAATTTAAAGTGTTTCAAAAATATTCACGTGACTAACCAGAAACTGAAACTGATACATCATCAAGACATGCTTGCAACATGCGTCCTTAATCGTTGAAAAGACTTCCAAACGTCTCAGGTTACGTCAAAGTCATTTTCGTTTTTACGACCGAATATATATAAAATATTTCAGTTAAGATAAACATTGCATTCAATGACGTAACAAAGTAAAAATCCGTTAGATACTGCAATTTCACATGAATAGTGAATTACCAATTCTGAAAGAAGTGTGTGTAAAGATTTTTTTCCACCATGAGTGAATTAATAATTTCTTCAATGACTTTTTACGACACATTGCATATTGTAATGATGTCATCCAGATTGTTGCACAACGTATAATCAGTTGTTTTTCTTTTTAATTCTGTCGGGTAAAAAAACAAAACAAATCACTTACGAGAGAATTTAGAATACGTTTTTGATAATAAGTTGTAATCTTTCACGAACCATGCACATATATTTCAGATCACGTGTGATGAGTGCTGATATGAAATGGCTTTACACCCTTGAAATTTAAATGTTCCTACAAAAGTGGAACTTCTAACTTTTCTACTTTATCTGAAAATAATAATTTCAACATAATAACTAAGAGAATAAATACCTTT